CTTGTTAATTGGTTGGTTGGTTGGTTGGTTGGCTTGTTGATTGGCTGGTTGGTTGGTTGGTTGGTTGGTTTGTTAGTTGGTTGGTTGGTTGGTTGGTTGGTTGGTTGGTTGGTTGGTTGGTTGGTTGGTTGGTTGGTTGGCTTGTTGATTGGCTGGTTGGTTGGTTTGTTAATTGGTTGGTTGGTTGGTTGGTTGGTTGGTTGGTTGGTTGGTTGGCTTGTTGGCTTTTTGATTGGCCGGTTGGTTTGCTGGCTGACTGGTTGATGATTGGTCGATTGGTCAATTGGTTGCTTGATCGATTTCCACAATCATATATTCCAAGCAGTTTATTTACTAAGAAAAGTAGAAGGATGAAGTTGAAACTCACTTAATCCCACTGTCCTTTAAGGAAGTAGTCCATAGCCAGACAGTGTTCCTTATAAGAACATTATAAAAGTATTACATACACACATAACCTAAAACAAGTGTAAAAACACCATATATGTCACAAACAATAAAAAAATCATGCTCTTTCCAATCTCACTAGATCCATGTATGTTGTGTAACCAATCTCTATATCTGTATTTCAATAAGTCATGTTTTGACATTGTTGTGTCGATAGCTGTAGAAAAGCTTCTTGAAGCCACTACTGTTTCATTTTGTCCTTCAGGTCAGTGTTAGTATATTTCCCTCTTGGTTAGTAGTTTTCTTTGTGTCTAGTTTTGTTTCTTCATCTTCTCTCAGTCTCTCTGTTTTGCTCCCCTGCACAGCTGTTCTTTACCCCCCTAGTTTCCTCACATGTGTCTAATATTTAAGATCATCCTCCACTCCTCCTGCAGAATATAGGCTCCCTTGTTTTCATGGCTCATTCCTGATTCCTCCATATCCTTCTCTGTAAATTCTCCTTTTTTAATTATTATTAAATTGCTCTGCTCTTTCCCCACGTTCAGAGTCTGCAGTTATTAACTATAAAACATGACAACACATCATGGAAATGGGTAGAAGAGACCTGACAGCACACACAAAGCAAAACTGCAACACATTCAAGTTCAAATATTCTGATTTTGCATTTTGGATATAATAATAGAATGAAATGAAACTTCAGCTGTCAGTGTCATGATTCCCCTTTAAACTCCTTTAAATATTCATTATTTTATTTTTGTCTCTGATTTAAGACGAGTTCATTTGTTGTCATCAGATAAAAGTAAAGACGTGCTTCATAACACAACAATCAGAAAGAATAATGACCAAAACCAAGCTAGGATTGTGAAAAGTACAACATTTAATCAGTTTGTTGTTTTTAAGCCTTTTTGAATTAAAATCTTAATAATAAAGAGTCTTCAGTTTGTTTTTTAAACAAAAGGGAGAAAGTTAAACACTAATGATAGCTTAGTGTTTTTATATAGGTATGTCTGTCTGCTGTTAAATAAAATGGGAACAATTTTCTCTTAGCAGACCAGAGTGGAAATGTAAACATTTACAAGGACTGAAAAGTTAAAAATAATGGTGATAAAACAAAAGTTTCCATTTGATCAACCAAGGAGGCATCAATGTACACATGTAATTTCTCACCAGATTAATCCAGATCTTCAGACATTAAAGTAAAAACAACTTTATAAATCAATTTATGAATGATTTATGTCTTGTCAGATCAGTTTAAAAGCTCTTTCATATGTAGAAATAAATATTTGTTTCAGGTGCATTATGACATTTTTCTTCACTTGCTAAAATAGTTATGCTTTTCCCATTTTGTCACATAATTATCACAAATTTAATTTGCTCTACTGTGGTTTTCTGTGCTAAACTTAAGTGTAAAATGTGCATGGTTACACATCTGAAAAAGAGGAGCACATATGATGCAGCAACAGCTGAAAACCTTATTAGTTTTGTATATTTAGAGACTGAAATTCTTGTTTCAGAGTTAATATAAATTAACTCAGCTGATTTGCTGAAACACAGTGGTGGCAGCATCATGCTGTGTCTACTTTCTTCTGTAGACACAGAGAAGTGGATCAGGATAATCCTTGACGTGGAGGAGAAGTTCATCTTCCTGTAAGAAAACAACCTAAACATTCAGCAGAATTACAATGAAATTCATTTTATAGTCCAGATCTAAATATTTTACACTGATCACTTAAATTGCGTTTAAGTAAAGTAACGGTACATTTACTTGAGTACATTATTTTTTGTCCTCTTTCCACCTCTTTTGAGCTTGTATGTGTCATTTGTGACGTGTTTCTATTAAATCCTCATTAGAAAAGACAGCGTGACCCAGATTTCAAATCTTCACAGATATTCTCATGCCTGGAATCTCATCTCAACAGTCTGCTTTAAATTGAAAACTGAAGCAGAAAAACAAATCAGAGTGTCAAAGAACCAAGAAAAGCTGCAAAAAGATAAAGTCAGTGAGGAAGATTGTATTCTGTAGTCACTTTGCTGTGTTCCAACAAAAATTAAATGATCATGTTTTATTTGTGGAAAAAGCAAAGGGGGATCAAGTTTTTGCAAACGGTACAAAGGTTGGTTAAAAAGATGATCAAGGTGATTTTTACAACAGGAAACATCTGTATCTGCCTTCCTATAAAGGGGTGCAAAACGAAGGTTTTCTCATGACTCTAAACTGTCCGTCTACCCACAATTGATTAAAAACAGACCCCAAAAGAGCAGAGCACACAAGATGGCGAGAGTTTCTCAGAAAACAAGGAGCCGTTTGCAAGAAAAATGTCTGAAATGACTCCAAAGAGGAACTGAAAGAGCTTCAGCTGTTAGAAAAAGAGAGGAGGATTAAACGCTGACATGCACGGTCTGAAACTTTTGCTTAGGAACGTCTTTCTTTCTTCTCATTTTGAAAAGGCAAAAGGCGAAAATAAAAATGTTATCTTACACAAAGATCTTCAAGAAATATATTCTTAGCTTGTGGGAATGACCATAAACTTTTAAAGAGCTGCAACTGCAGAGTGGTTTTCTATATTTTCTTGGTTTTTGTTGCGAGAGCAGCAGATTTACCCCTGAGGCCCAAACGGCTAGACTGTTGCAGCAATTTTAATCCACAGCAAAGGGCAAAAGATTCAACCCAACACAAATTGACCCTCAGCAATTATTCCAGGTTTTCAACTACTTTGAGAATCAGCTAGTTGATTCTTAGTTACTATTTATTTGTAAAACTGTTTTATCTTTGGTTTGATAGACTGCTGGTAGAAAAGTTAAATTTTACACCCAAAACTAGATAAAGTCACAAAGTCAGGAACTTTTCCAAGTATGAATGATTCATAGAGTTAAGCGACTGAACAGGTGATAATCTTTTTTTTTAATATTTGCACTGAATTTCCACACTAAAAGTACTAGTTATGTTTTTAGATCTTCTTTCCTTGTCATTAATGTTTATTCAACATTTTTTTTCATCCTTTCAATATGCAGATGCACCAAAGTGCAGTTAGAACAAAATAACAAATAGCAACTCTTCAAGTAATTGATTTAAAAATAGTTTTCCAATCAAATAAAATAAATAGTTGTACATTTTCCAAAACACTGTCACAATTCAGAAATAAATTGTAATTCAAAATAAAATATATACAGCAATTATAACAATTATTTCCAGCCAAAGTGGTCAATGACAGGAGCCCAGAACTCTGTAAATAAATCTAGTTTTGCAGTCATTTTTTTCCCATTATGTAGACATTTTTAAAACTTTTTTGCCACTGAAGAAGAGAAAGTGTTATAATTTTTACTGCCATCATAAAACATATGTGGAGTATCTTAACTTTCGGTAACACTTTATTTGAAGGGGTGTGCCAACTTTGCATGAAATTATCATCATTTACAAAATCATGCAAAGTTGGCACTTTTAATGGACTTTTAATGCAACTTTTAGAGCAACTTTGCATTAAAAGTGTCATTATTTACCAAATGACACTTCACGACAACTGTCATAAACATACACAAAGACTTCTTTATTTTCATGACAGGTGTTATATCATGTTTATGACAGTGTCATGTCAGTCTTATGCACACCCCTTCAAATAAAGTGTTACCTAACTTTCTTTTTTTTCCAATCCACCCTGTGGGATAAAACACAAGATATATTATTTTGGATTGAGTGACAAATTAAGTTTCTCCTTGAAACTCTTGCCTATGTCCGGGTTCCCCCAGTGTATTATAAGCCTGGCGGGCCACCAGGCTTTACTTGTTCCCCCACCAGGCTTAGCTTGCTTATTTATTTATGTTTTTTTTTTTATGTTTGCATTTTTTAAGACTTTATAGTTGGTGCTCAGATATTAATCTTCCAATCTTTTAATAACATAATTATCAAGTGATATTTCAAATTTCATGTCAACTTTAAACATTTTTTAATACAAAAACACAACGGACCGCTGGTTGAATGACCACCGAGCGCTCCAACCAGAGGGCTTAGCAAGTTTTCTAGGGTAAACCTTTTATGTACTTAATAAAAATCTATTGTATTTTATCATTACATTTATTTTAAATCCTAAAGATATAAATTAAATGCTTGTTTTTTTTTAAAATTGCAAGAAATTTCCTGAAGTAGTAGTTACTTTTTCAAAAAGTCAAGTGAAATTTGCAGCTCTAATGAGTTTTATTTGTCTTTCCTGACAACAAAATGTCTCTCTTTAAACTGTAAAAGTTGCAGACCCCTGGCCTGGATTCAGTGTGACCCAGAATCCGACAGAGAAGCTGTGATGTGTCCTCAAACCGGCCGCTCACGCTCAGAAACACCACATGACAGCAGCTGTTGCCTCCAACGGGAACTCAATCAGTTATTAGGTTTAGGGAGCCATTTTCCAACCAGGCTAGGTTTGTTATTTTTTATTTTTTTTAGAGCTTTCTTCCTTCATTTGAAATGGTTTTGGATTTACTCAAATCATCTTTGTCTAATATTACAACTTGTTAATCTAAAACACAAAAACATAAGGAATTAGTAAATAAATCCCCACTGCATTGTGAGCTCTGAGGACACCAAGTGGCTCAGGTCCCTGTGATAAAGATGAGTTCATGGGAGAGTAGCATGATGGCCGAGTGGAGTGTGTGTGGGTGGCAGCGTGGAGTGTGTGTGGGCAGCAGAGTGGGACAGACCTGCATGAAGTGCACTTTGGCTTGTTGTTGTTGTTGTTGCAGTGGAGAACGTAAAGCACATTTTCAGGCATCTGATGACCTCTCCGGTTCACATATGGATGGAGACGCTCTTATCTGACAATACACAGGCTTATTGAGCTGCTTGTTTTGAAGTCAGCACAAGTGAACGAGAACATTTAAAAATAATGTAACTTCCTCTCTATTTTTGAATATTTGCTTTTAAACCAACTTTAATTTGGTCTGGGTGTCAAACTGATCCAGGTTTAATCAATTGATCTTCCATTATAAGGACAAAAATAACAAATTATGAGCAACCAGCACACTTAATGCAGATTTTTTTAATAAATATTTTGTTTTTTCCTAGCTTTTTTTTGAACACAGCTAAACATACATCAACAAAGAAAATACAAAATAACTCAAATTGCAATACAGTTAGTTCAGAGAGTTGCACAAATCCTAGCTGATTTGCCACAATATTTTTTTTTCATTTAACTCAGATCTTCTCCAATTTTGCTACCTGAAAAAATAATTATTTCCATCATACATAAATCCTTTATGATCTGGTGACAGTCATCCAGCGCTGACAACAGCCTTCACTATCTTCGATAACTCTTTATGAGCTACAACAACATTTAATTTCCCTATGGGATTAATAAAGTATTTTTGAATACTTTATTTTATGCTTCATCATTTATTTGTGTCAACGTTTCTGGTTTTAAAATATAAAATAAGCTTTTATAGACTGACTCCATGTCCACTGAATACAAAAATCCAAATAAAAACTCATCACTCTTAATTCAGTTTTTAGTATGAATACAGTCCTGCCCAGTTTATTTTAATCAAGCATTTAATTTCTTATATATGCCTGCGATGTTTCAACATTTGCAGGATTTCTGTCCTGTATTTTCATTCCCTGCTGCAGCTTCTTTCCTCTATATGTGCTTCTTGTTATACCACACTATCTATACTGATGTCTCCTCCTTGAGCAATTCCTACAAAATCTCACTCTGACTCATCTATATTCTTTTTTTGGGGTTGTGATTTATGCGTTTTAATCCGAACAAATCGAGCCAAGCTTTGACACTGTGCGTCTAATCCAAGAGGCCTTTTATTCTCCAAGATGTCATGTGCTTTATGCCTGTGAGCTTTTCTATTCCCTGCTGATCCACTGCATGTTCTTTAACTAGGACGAGTTTGCAGGGAAAGATGAATACTGTTGGCTCTAATTTGTAAGAGGTGAAACATCTCTTTATGTTGGGTATAAACTTTAAGGACACAAACGAGTTCATCACTTTCATCTAAATGTCATTTCAATTTCTTGACATGTTCGAAACTTTGTTGTGTTGTATTTTATTCAGATTCTCTGATTCTATGACATAGAACAACACAGTAGATAACTGTGAAGGGAAAAAATACATATTTTTGCCTTTTTAAAAAATCTAATGTGTCTGAAAAGTGTGGTGAGCATTTATATTTAGCCTCCCTGACTCAATGCTTTTGAAAACTACCTTTTTCTGCTATTTCAGCTGTTGTAAAAGAGCATCCCCACAGCATAATACTGCCATCACCAGGTTTCACAGTGAAATGAGGGGTTACATTTTAATTTGTCAGTGGAAGCCTTATCAATGCAGGCTAACAGATTTCCCCTGCTAAGCAATATAATAATATGAAATTATGTGATATTCTTTGTAGCATTTGTATTTCTTACCAAGATAAAAATATATTTTAGGCTGTCAGATTAAAACAGTCCATGATAATTAGGTTCTCAATAAGATAGAATATCAAAATACAGTTTTTTGGTATTTCATTTTCAAAAGTGAAACTCATATTTTGTAAGCTACACTCTTCTTTAGCAATTTTGCAAAATCCTGATACCAAACCTCTCCTCTGTTTTTATGTCCAAATAATTAAAGTTTCAGGCATTATTTGAGGAGTCCTGGTCTTTGTATAAGTGTATAAGTTTGTAGACTTCTTTTAGGATCTTGCAGTCTGCCTTCTGGGTTAACTTGGTTGGGTGGCCAAAGTTTGGGATGTCTGCAGTTATTTTGAATGTCCTCCACTTGTAGGCTATTTTCAGTACAGTGAAATGTCTGATTTCAGATTAATTTGAGACCTTTTTAAATCTTTTACTAGACTCATTAGCTGCCTGCTACAGTCTTTTTTTTCCTTTTTTAAGTTGAACAGCTCTTTTCTTATGATGGTGTTATTCACTTCTAACGGTCAGGAAGAAAAAAAAGCGACCTTTTGCTTGGTAGATATTAATTTCTGATCTCATATAGTCATGTTTTCTTACAGTAGATTATGAGTTGATGATAAAATTTTTTCCAATTTTCTATCATCTGTCCCTTTTTGTTTCAACAATTGACATTTAAAATTCAAAGGTGTACGAAGACTAATGAGAACATTGTTATAATAGAAAATAGTTATTTATTATCAATATTTACGTTGCAACATTCAACAATAATATTTACAATTTCCTTTTAAAAAACAAACAAACAAACAAACAAACAAAACAACAACATAGCCCTAACTGGGCTTAAATGTTCAGCTGACGCTTACTGTATAATGTCATTAAAGTATAATGACTGCTTTGGGATGTATGTTTTTGAATCTGTCTAAATAACGCTATTGTACAGGTATAAATTATCGTATGTTAATAACTCTCTGTATAACTGGATGTGGTTGTTCTAAATTGAAAACAAACTATACCAAAATCACTATGGTAGATCTTTTTGTCGCTAATATTGACTCAAGTGAGCTAAACAATCAACGTTTTAATTGCACAGCCTGGTTTGCTATCAAATACCTTAATAATTATTTGGATTATGTATCTATTTCTGCATATAAATGTGCACAGTTACAGGGTGTAATTAAGTAAGATTTTAAAAAAATCTGTGAATATTTAATAGCTTGACATTGCGGTCTAAAATGAACACGACAGTTAACACTCTTGAATATTCAACATTTCCCTGTTTTAAAACATAGAAACGCTATTCTTTTTGTTTATATTGTGTTAACAGTGGTGTGGTAGTAACCGAGGAGAAAAACAAATGTCCTAGCGGGTTGTCTTATGAAAAGCAGGCAGCGAACAGCAGGGCTACAGTGACATTTTCCCCACATGCAAAATAATGCAAAAGGTAAATACTCCGGCGGAGGGATACAAACACCATACCAGAACATGGCCGCCTCCGTCATGTCCTCTCTTACAGTCCCGCCCCTCACAGGCGTTCCCGAAGTCTGATTGGTCCTGAGTTTTGCAGTGAAGTCTCTCATTGGGTTGTTCACAGGTCAATCACGTGCTAACGTCAATGACGCCGATCGTACACTGGGTACGCTTGTGTCGCCTGGGTGGACAGTGTGGTTACATCAATATAAAGTGGAATAAAATGCCGCGGATGTGTGTAAATGGAGACGCCTCTTCAACGCGATTGTATACTGCCTCTTAGTTAAGACGGGTCAACTCCGAAGAAGGCGGCGGCAGGGCTAATTTCAGGGTTTATCAGCAATATTTCAGGGTAAGTGGAGTGATACATTTCCTTCCTGCGTCTTTTTTTCCTTTCACGGTTGAAAACTCGTTTTATTATTCATTTATAGCAAAACGACAATCCTGTTCCTCTTCATTAATTACTAGTAGACATACAGTTAATATTATAACGGGAAGCATTCATGATTTCCTCTAAAGTAGTGCGTAGTCCGGTTCGTCTTGCCGAGTTACACGGAGGGAGTGAGGAAGGTAATGGCTGTCGGGTCGGACTCGTAACTAGAAAAATTGTGAAATGGCCTGGGTACAGTAACGCTACTTTGTCCTTTTACTTTGTCAAGCAAGCGCCAGTAAAAGCGGCTCAGTTGAGGATATTTAATTCCGCTAAAATCGGAACACAATCTGACAGCGAGCTGAGCTCCCAGCGTGTCAGATTAAATCTTGAAGGGTTTACCTGTCTGCCGTCAGTTGGCCTGTTCAGTCTCCAGACTCCATCTGTCATCGCCTTCATCACACTTTGTTTTTCTTGTAGAAAAACTCTATTAGCCTCATGTGGCCCCCCACATATCAGATTCCTACTGGAAATAAAAAAGATATTGCATTTTTTTTTTCACTCAACCTTGTAACAAAAGCTCATTACTGTAAAGGCCCTGAGGAAGAATACTAATATCCTCCTTCCTAGTTTTGCTTCTGGAGGATTTAAATTGATATTAAAGTAGGTTAGATTTCATGCAGAAAAATCACGCAGAGTTTCATGTAGCAGGGGTCAAGCTGGGTTGCTGGTATTTGCATGGCCTTAGTTTACAGTAGGGCTAACTGTACCTGAATCAAATAGCAGATACCAACTTGGCCTCTCATTATGCACAGGCAGTATGATAAATCCAGATGCTCGATTTTTTTCTTATTAACAATATAATAATGTAAAGAATGCAACATTTTCATGGTGATTATTGTGTGCAAATTTGTCATGGCTGTGCACATTATCAGGGTCTTTGTAAAAACGTGTTCATAATTTGAAAAATTATTGTAGTTACATCATTAAGAATGGACACTGCAGCATATTATCCACGTTATTAATAATTGTTATTATTTAATAGCAAAATGGGCAGATTTTTATTATCAAACATCACTGACAAATTGTAGTCTAAAGACAATACAGCCAGCTTTCAGATTACTGTAAACACTTCAAGAAATGTTTGTTGATGTTCATAAAAAAGGATGAATATCCTTAAGGTTGTTATTGTGAAGAAAGAAACTCTGGTCTCTGTTCATATGGTTTTTTAAAATATTTTTGAGGTATGTATTTGAGAGAAATTAACCATTTCTATTATCCACTAGCATAGATCCCATTTGTAGAAACTGGAGTATGGTCAAAATAACACAAAGGCAGTGTTTTCAGACCTCAAACCAGTTCATTTTCACTTTAAATAAACAATATTTTGATTTTAACTCATAAAGAGTTCAGAAATATATCCCGATCCTTAATGTCTACATGAATGGCCTTTCAAGAAGCTACTAACGAGTTAAATCAGCAAACCAAACCATTCTGCAAAGGTACTGAGGTTCTGTTCAGACCTGGTATTAGCGCCATATCTTCATCTTATTCAGGTTTATTGAGTTATTTACTAACTCTTTATACTCTGACCCTTGTATGATAACAGAAAACATAAAGAGGAAATAGAGAATAAATAGCGTGACTTTACAAAGCTCAGCATCAGTGTGCATAGATTTAAACCCATAAAACAACACCACAGTAAAGCATTTGTCGACTCGCTTGCACAATTTTATTCGTTTACTAATATGCACTGCTTAAATGTGTCAGAACATTCCAGAGATTTTGCACTTTGCATGAATAATTTATAGTGCGGTGACCGCAGCAGTTCAATCAGCTCCAAAAACAACAGTAAAAATAAAAAATCACCCTTACGGTGTCCTGATATCAACCGTTAAACGCCGACTGTTCAGAGAAGATGGTTTTTACTGAGGAGGATTCCAACACATAAAACTAGGTAGTAGTTTTGAATCCACTGAGAGCAGCACTGATTTTTGGCAGCAGATGTTATAAAAACATTTTATTTGGTTGTTGTTGAAGATGTTCAGGTAATAATTGTGTTGTTGTTGGTCCTTCAGTGTGTCCTACCAATCTAATGCAGATACAATCACATCCTTAGTGTGTTTATTTGTTGTGAATTCACACATTTTTCGCACCATCTGGACCCAATCGGATCACTCAGGACGCAGGCCAGTGCAACACTTACAGGGTTTCCTGCAGAAAACTTGCTAAGCCTGGTGGTAGGAGCGTTAGCATCCATAGGCCCATCATGTTTTTGAGTTAAAAATGTTTAAAGTTTACAAGAAATGTGAAAATATGACTAGGTGATTATGTGTTATTGGAAGACAGTATTTGCAATACCTAAACACCAACTGTAAAGTCTTAAAAAAGGGAACAAAGAAAAAGTTGTTTAAGTCGTTTCATCCGAATTAAACATTTCTTAGCCTGGTGGGGGTGCAAGTAAAGCCTGGTGGTCCGCCAGGCTTATAAAGCCCTGGGGGAAACCAGGGTTTAAACACTTAATCCTCTTTGGGAGTTGAATTAAACTTATTCAATGTCTGATATGTTGCATTTGATAGTCAATAAAACAGAAAAACAATAATAGTTTCATCTTCAAGCTGCTGAATTACAATTACTTTGAATTACAATCTCCATAAGAGTGGTGAAAAAAAAAATCATTTCATATAAAAGAGCATTAATAACCTGCAAAAAGCAATAAAGGATTATTTTTTATTAAAAAAATTCAATTGTCACATGTTCTGTGCCCTCCGTGACATGTCATATTAAATAAAGTTATGTTTGCAATTGTAAAGTATAATATTTTCTCCATTAACAAACAGCGATAAGAGAATATTTTTGCAATGAAGCAAAAATAAATTCAGCTATCATTCTTTTTCATTGTGGTAAAATCCTGAAAATAAACATTAAATTATTTCTAGATATTGTTGGATTCTGGACCTTATGTGGGTCAATTCAGTTCCTCTCTTTGAGTTAAAAGAATAGCAAAGACAGGCGGATATCTATTCAAAGCTGCGTTTTATTTCCATTTCTCTAATGAAGGCTCATTGTTAGAAAGAGGCTGAAATATTTTCCTGCTTAGCTCTGCTTCTGCACAATTTGAATTGATGCAAAAGTGAATTTGATTTTATAGAAAGACATTTGACAAGCAAGGGTCTAGCCATGCCACTGATATTTGCATGATCTTATTTACAGCCGGGCCAGCTGTACCTGCAGCAGAGAACAGGTGCCAGCCGGGACAGCGGCTTGGTTTTGATGAATTCAGAGGCCGGAATTTCACTGCCTTAGCTGGGCTTGAAGTAGGCCGCTTTAACAAGGTGAATCTACCGCTGTGAGGCGTCCCTGCAGATGGATTCACGTTACAATCTGCAGTTATGAAAACCCTCAGCGATCAGCTTATTGATGAGTGAAGTGAATGTTAGGGATTGTGATATCCCTCTGAACTTTACATTATTTGAAGTCTGAAAACACAATTTTCTGGTATTTTGGCTAGGGATGGGCATTTATCACGATAATCTGTAAGAATTTTGATTTATTTTTGTCACAATAAATTTTAATTAATAATGTTTAAAATCCTCCAAAACTGTCCGTATTGTCAGGATTGTTATTTTACTATTTTCTCCAATGTTTGTTCAACTATAGTATCAATAAATGTAAAAATAGGATTAAATGCAGTTACTGTTAGCAAATAACACTTCTTTATTTAACTCGAGTCCTAAAGAAGCATGTTATTTTATTGTGTTTCAAGAACTGTGTTTGTGTTTTTGGTACTAATCTACCATGGAGTTACAGCTGTGAAATGATCTAAAAAATTAGTAATAATAAACATTTCTTATTGTCACTTTTATCCCAAGTACCACAAAATATCCTGATAAAACTTCTTCCACCCTTAATTTTGACCATCTTCTATTTTCTGCAAGTAAATATTTGCCATAAAAATGTTTATATTTAGAATTTGGAATCAGTGTTGGAATAAAAAGCAGTATTAACAAAGGAAGTACATTTTTATTATGAGCTTTTTTTCATGGTTTAATCTTTGATGGGGAAAAAATACATTTAAAATTCGACTAAAATGTAAAACAAAGATTTACTAATCAGCCTGTCAAGGAGGAGCAGCAATTTCTGTTCCAGCTTTAAAAGTCATATTGCAGCGCTGACAGCTTCCCCATCAATTGCTTAGCAACTGATCCAGTTGCCTCAGCAATCGTTTTATTATTGTCTGCTTCACTGACTGGCATGAGCAAAAATCAGTTTTATAAATTTTAAATGTCATGTCATTGCTTCACTTGCAAAAACTCATTGCTTCATATCAAAGTCTGAGTTTTTTCACTTTTAAAACATCAAGAATCTAATTGGGTATTAACGCAAAGCGTGACATAAATAGGAAGCGGCATAAAGAAAATGTGGTTTAATAAGTTAAAAATATGCATAGGATAAAGGAAAAATACAAATGCATGTAAAATGTCAAATTCTCTATAAGGTTGAGAAAATTAAAGAAGCCAAACCTTGGAGAAAAACTATATCATCCTTTATTTATCTACTGATTCAGATGTTTACTCGTTTCTTTAAGTTAAAGGACAAGAACGAATAAAAGAGCAAAATTGGCTGTCGATTTGTGCATTAACAAATTTTTATTAAAATGAAAAAACTTTGCAGTTGGTGTTGGACTAAATTTGTTATGTCTGAGAAACTGAATGAATAAAAGAAAATAAAATTTTTTCAAATTATTTTAGTATTTTGTCAATGACCAATCAGAGCAGCTCGGTAGAAAATCGGTAGATCCTGAATTTTTGACCAATAAATTGCTGCGTCTCTGCACGTCACAGATCTTTTCCTTAAATTTCCATATTTAAAACCATAATGGCAATAATTCAAGGAGAAAGTTGAGATTTTAAATCTGCTCATTTGTTTGGACAACTTTAAAATCTGCTTGTATAAGGTTGTAAAATTTAAGATTCAGCTAA